GCGCAGGAGCCTGCTTGAGATTCTCTCTCGCCCCCTCTCTGCCCCTACCCCACTTGCTGTCTCTGTGTCTCTCTCAAATAAATACTTAAAATTAAAAAAAAAAAATTAGGGATGCCTGGGTGGCTCACTCAGTTAAGCGTCTGACTTCGGCTCAGGTCATAATCTCATGGTTTGTGGGTTTGAGCCCTGCATTGGCTCTGTGCAGGCAGCTTGGAGCCTGCTTCAGATTCTGTCTCCCTCTCTCTGATGCTCCCTTGCTGGCTGGTGCTCTCTCTCTCAAAAAATAAACATAAAATATTAGAACATTTTCATCACCCTCAAAAGAAACCCCATACACATTACCAGTCACTCCTCCCTTACCCTCCGATGCTCTAGGCAACCACTGACCCATTTTCTGTCTCTATAGACATTTCATATAAATGGAATCATGGCTATATGTGTCTGCCTTCTTTCGCTCGGCATGTTTCCAAGGTTCATCCATGTTCCAGCTCGTATCAGTATCTTATTCCTTCTTATGGCTGGCTGCTTCACTGTGTGGATATACCGTAGTTTGTTTATGCAGTCATCAGTGGACATTTGTTATGGTTTTTGGCCATTGTGACTAATGCTTCAATGAATACTCATGTACAAGTTTCTGTGTGGACATGTTTTCACTTCTCTTTGAGCATATACCCAAGAGAGGAATTGCTGGGTCATACGGTAATTTAAACTTTTGAGGAATGCCAGACTATTTTCCAAGGTGCCTGCACTGTTTTTAGATTCCTACCAGCAGTATATGAGACTTTGAATTTCTCCACAAACTCCCTTTTATTGTGTGTCTTTTTTATTATAACCATCATAGTGGGTGCAAAGTGGAATCAAACTGTGGGTTTTATTTGCATTTCCCTGATGTTGAGCATCTTTTCATGTTTATGAATGGCTTACTGGCTATTTGTGTATCTTCAGAGAAATATTTAGATCCTTTGTCCATTTTAAAGTTGGGTTGTTTTTTGAATTGTAGGACATCTATGTATACAAGTACCTTATCAGATACATGATTTGTAAATATTTTCTCGCAGTCTGTGGGTTTTTTTAAAGCAGTTAAAAATTTATTTTCAATGTTTTATTTATTTCTGAGAGAGAGCGAGCGAGCAAGGAAGGGTCAGAGAGACACACACAGAATCTGAAACAGGCTCCAGGCTCTGAGCTAGCTGTCAGCACAGAGCTTGACACAGGGCTTGAACTCATGAACTATGAGATTATGATCTGAGCTGAATTTAGACTAGGCCACACAGACACCCCTATTTTTTCTAGTTTTGAGTTAAAAAAAAGTTTGCTCCACTTGAATTGCTATTCTTCCCCTTTTGGTATAGTTTAGAAACAGGTATGTTATTTTATTTCTCTTACGAGACCTGAATTCAAATTTTATTTCTGCTAATACCTAACTCTAGGGTAGTAACTTGGACAAGTCATTTCATTACTCTCTTAGTTTTCATACTTGTAAGAAGAGAATAGTACCCACTTTGTAAAGTTATGTATGCAAACAAGAGCATGTGTGAGTTCTTAGCATAATGACCACATAGTAGGCTCCCACAAAGAGTGCTGATTTGAAGACTTTCAAGGATCTTTAAAAAGCACTTTTATTTCAAGATGTGTGAAGTATTAAGTATTATATTTACTTCATAACGATTATTGAATGAAGAACAGATGTGTTGTACAAGATCAATTTGTAGCAAAACATATCGTAATTTAGTAATCTTGACTGTGTCAGTTTTACCATTCTGCAGATCTGAGTAAGAAAAGAAGCCGGTATGTCAAGGACACTATGTTATGTGATGTTTCCCCAATTTCTTTCCAAGTCCCATAATGGTCTTATGGAGTTATAATGTGGTAAGTTCAACCGACAAGATAAATTGGAGATTGGTTACTCTACATGAGTCAGTAAAAGGTTAAATGTGATTCCTAAAGACACCTGTGAATGCCTATTTCTTTTCCTAAAGTCACTGTGGCACACACTCACTCTCCTCAGTTTAAAAACAAACATGCTTTTCATGGATTAAATCTCTGAATCTGAAAAATAATGACATATTTGACCTAAAGTGAATATTCTGTATTAATTACATCGCACACATGCATGCATGCGCGCACACACACAGCATGCTTTAAGACACCAACAAATACTCCTCTTCCTCCACCCACCGAACCTCCAGGACTGTCCCAATGTTCACACTCACCGTCTTGGTGATGGTACCCAGGCTTTAAACACCACCTTTCAGCTAATGACTGCCAAGTACATGTCAGCAGCTCAGACTTGTCTCCAGACTTGATTATTCAATTGCCTCCTAGACACTTCCCTTAAATGTTTAGCAGACATCTCATACCCAGCGTGTTCAAAACTGAACTCCTGAGCTTCTTGAAACCTGCACCCCTGTAGCCTTCTCATTTCAGTTAAATGGCATTTCCATTCTCCAGTTGCTCATGCTTACCTTGGAGTGATTCTGGACTCCATTTCTTCCAGAAATCACATATACTCTGTTGGCTTTACCTTTAGAATATGTCTAGGATTCTCTAACCTCTCTTAATCTCAACTACTACCATTGCTCTTGGCCAGATTACTACAATTAGCCTCCAAAGCGACCTCCCCCTTCCACTCTTGCTTTCCTTGGTCTACTCTCAAAACAGCAACAGGGGTGCCTGGGTGGCTCGGTCGGTTAAGTGACTGACTTCGGCTCAAGTCATGATCTCATGGTTCGTGGGTTTGAGCCCCACGTCAGGCTCCGTGCTGACAGCTAGCTCAGAGCCTGGAGCCTTTTCGCATTCTGTGTGTGTCTCTCTCTCTCTCTGATCCTCCCGTGCTCACGCTGTCTCTTTCTCTCAGAAGTAAACAAAACATGAAAAAAAACCAGCAACAGATTTTTTTTTTTTTTTTTTTAAGAGAGCGAGCAAGTGAGCAAGCTCGGGGAAGGGGCAGAGAGACGGGGGGAGAATCCCAAGCAGACTCTGTGCTATCAGCACAAAGCCTGATGTGGGCTTGGAGTCACGAACCATGAGATCATGACTTGAGACGAAGTTGAACACTTAACCAACTGAGCCCCCTAGGCACGCCTGTGGTTTTTAGGCTTGAAGAGGAGACATCACTAGTTCTTGAAGACCGGAGTATGAAGAGGAAAAGAAGGGCTTTCTAAGCAGAAGAGCGAGCTATGGGTGAAGGCAGAGGTTGGACTGTAATGGGGGATTTGTGTGATACGTAAGAATAGACTGTGAATTGTGTGGTGTGTGACTTGATACAGTCATTGACACGAGAATATGACATCTAAAGCTTTGTTTTAGGAAAACTGGGCAGCTGTTTGTAAATGGAGAAAAGTTAAGAAAAAATGTAAAATTAGGAACTCCTTTGAAGCCATTATCTAATAATTCAAGTTTGAGGCACTGACAAAATTTAGAGACAGATGAATCTGAGGCACAAATGCATTCAGAAATGCCTGGCTTGAAAGTGAAGATCAGAAATGATCTTTATTTAGGTCAGGCCCGGTTATATAAATTTGGGCGTTATTGACTGAATCCTTCAGCGCGCGTGGGGGCAACTACAAGAGGAAAAAAATGCTAACAGATTATTCAAAGGCTCTGAATGGCACAAAGGGGACAGCCTATTATTATTGTGACAATAAAATATGTTGAACTTCTATAGAATAAAGACAGAATACCTGAGGCATACAGATATAGTTGAGGTTAACTGTGGTTAACTGAAGGCTAATGAGATTTTTTTGGTCTTAATTTTTGCTTGCTGAGCTTCTTCCTTCCCACCCCCCAAAAGTGTTCTTCTGTCTTACTCCCCCTTGATAACTGGGGAACACAGCTGAATTATTTTAGAGGATTCAGGATGTCACCATCCTCAAGGTGATCATCATAAGTACGTACTTTTAATGCAAAATCACAGTTATAGGAAACTGGATAAATCCACGGTGACCACGGTACACATCCTGATATTTTGAGACTCGTGACAACGATTTGACTTTCAGAGAAAGGCAGACAGCACCCAATGACGACCCAAGCTCCCAGGGGTCTATCACACAAGCCGGGTCTTGCTCCCGCGTTTTCTTGCCAACGCGCACGCAGGACGCTGGGCGCCAGGGTCAGATGCATTATTACGTCATCGGCACGGTTTCCGCCGGCATCGCCTCGCTCCGGGATACGGACGACGTGTGTGACCGAGGCCCCTTCGCGGGCTAATTTTGCGACCCTCCAGTTCTGACTTGAATTTAAAGAAATACTTCATTCCTGGCGTAAAGCCGATCTTTCTAACCCCGTTCTCCCCCCGCCCCGGGATTCTCCCAGGGAGTTCCTGCCGCTTTAGAAACTTTCTGTGTTCTAGTGCGACGTGCCAAGGAGCGCAGGTCCACAGCAGCGACAGTGTGACGCTCGCGGCGGGGGCCTGCCCCCCATCCGGACCCGGCAGGGAACGCGCACGACCGCGCCGCGGAGACACCTCGCAGATCCCACTCCCCCGCCCCCACCCCCGGTCTCTAACTTTCTTAAAAGCTCTTGCGAAGCCATCGAGCAAGTCAAGCGAATCCGGCTTCGATTCGGTCCCCGGCTCGGAAAACCACTGCGCTCCCCTACCCCCGTTCTTTAAACACCGGGTGAAGACAAACTCCAGAAACCGAAGGGGCCGCACGACCTCCTCTCCTTAACCCCAGCCCGTGGCCTCCGCAGGCCGGCACCCAGATGCCCGCCCCGCGCGCTCCCTTCTCGGAAACCGACTCGGGGAGGCGCACAGAGCTTCCCGGCGGCCGTGCGGGAAGGGGTTCCCCCCAGCCTCGGGGCGTCCCCGCACCCTCCCGAGGGCAGAGAGCCGGGGCTCCCGCGCCCTGCCCCCGGGACCCCACGAGGGGAGCCTCTCTCCCTCCGTCGGCTCCTCAGGGCCCCGGGACCCCTCAGGACACGGCCGGAGGCGGTTGAGGAGGCCGTCCCCCGTTCACCTCAGCGCTCCCGCCCGCAGCCCCGCCGCGGCATCGGCTTACCGGCTCTGCCCCGGGAGTGGCGTGGGGGGTGGGGGGGAGGCGGAGGCGGCGGCACAGCTAGCACGACCGCCAGCCCTAGCTTCCCTCACCTGAGGGAGCGACAGTGAGACCATCCCGAAGCCCCGGGCCTCGCCCGGGGGAGGGGCCTCCGGACGCCCAGCGGCGCAGACCGCGCCAGGTGAGCACGCCTGCGCAGTCGGGCCGTAAACAAGCCCGCCCCTGCCCCTCGGCCGGCCTCCGCGGGGCCGGCTCCCGAGTGGGAGGGGCCAGGAGGAAGAGGCGGGGGGGGGGGGAAGAGCGAGAGCCCAGGACGGCGCCTGCGCGGTGGGCGTGATCCGGGCACTTAGGGCAGGATGAACGCTGCTTTCCAAGATGGCGACGGAGGGAGGAGGGAAGGAGATGAACGAGATTAAGACCCAATTCACCACTCGGGAAGGTCTGTACAAGCTGCTGCCGCACTCGGAGTACAGCCGGCCCAACCGGGTGCCCTTCAACTCGCAGGGATCCAACCCCGTCCGCGTCTCCTTTGTAAACCTCAACGACCAGTCTGGCAACGGCGACCGCCTCTGCTTCAATGTGGGCCGGGAGCTCTACTTCTATATCTACAAGGGGGTCCGCAAGGTACCGACCCGGGCGTCACCGGGGCCCGCCAGGGGCGTGGGCAGAGGCCAGGAGCAGGGCGGTGACAGCGGGGCCCAGGGTGACCGACAGAGGTGGCGGTCGCTCTTACTTTTGAGTGGGCCGGTAACTCCACTGGGGTGCTCCTGAGGAAGGGGGATTCACGAATAAGGAAGGTGGTGTTTCAGGGGGTGGGGGCGGTGGAAAGGGGCCGTGGGGTACGCGGATCCGCCCGGGAGGCCCCAGGAGGGGCCAGATGCTTTCTGTCTGGCAGGGTCCGTCAGGCTCTGACACGGCCAGGGAGCGGGCCTGCGAGTCCCCGGAAGAGGTGGGGTGGCCGTCTTGTCTGCTTAGGCTGCCTCGCCTCCCGGGAGTTGTGTGTCTCGCTCTGGGTTAGAGAACAGGGGCGCGGGGCGGCTCGGGCAGGTCTGTAAGGCGGAGTCCGGCTGGCAGCGGAGGGCTGAGACTAGGTCAGAAAGGAGCTGCTCGGCACCGAGGGCTACTCCACCTGCTACCGCACTGACACTTCCTAGGAGCCTCCGTTTCTGGTGTTAACGCTCTTTCCGAAAACCTCAGGAGGAGGACGGCTGTCACTTTCTCCGCCGGGGAATCTTCTCCCGAGAGATTGTTAAAGAGGGTCATCTTGGCCCTTACAGAATGGGAAAGACTGAGTAGTACAGTTGGGAGGTCGGAATGATGTTTTGAGTGAACCAAGCTTGTTCCTCGGTGTTCTGTGTGAGCGTGCCCAGATTGTTCTCGTCCAACAAGTCAGACTGTGTCCCAGAGAGGGAGGGATATGCCTTAAAAGCTACTTTACAAGAATCGCTTTTTTCTCGACGGGCGACTTAACATTAATTTTGTGAAGCATGTAATCCTTTAAAAAGGTCTCTTCAAAAGAAGCAACTTTATTAGAGCTTTTCCTTTATTGCCTACGTAACTGTGTTCTCACTGAGAACTGCTTACCTTTGAGATTTATGGTCTTTGACTTGACTTTGGAAAGAGTTAAGGACGTTGGTTCGTCCCACAGCACCTAGGCATGGGAAAAGGTGATAACAGATTATAAATGTTCGGTTAGTGTGACAGCAGATCGTGCACACTGAACAGTGGACGTTCCCTAGGATGTAATATACCCAGAAGCAGTAAGTTTTTGCTTGGTTTCTCAAGACCTAGGGAAATGAGGGTGGTATTCAGATGTAGCAAGTTTTCTCATTTGGCCAAGGTGCATCTTTTTGGCTAGCGTTTGTGTTTGAGGTATGCTATTACTGAAAGTAAATCGCTTGACTTCATTTTTTCTCTTTTGCAACTGAGGAAGTGTGAAGTAGTTAGTAGTCTAGGAGCTAAACTTCTAGTCCTGCTCCCAACTTTTTTGTTGACTTGTTGGGTGACCTTGGATGAGTTCTTTAACTTCTGTCTGCTCCTCTTTAAAAAGAGAACATGGCAGTACTCACTTTGTAATTTATAATGTAACTGTAATGAACTTTAAAGCCTGAAACCCTCAGCAGGTGTAAAATATAGTTAAAGTAAACATTAAGAGTAATGTCAGGGGCGCCTGAGTGGCTCAGTTGGTTGGGTGTACGACTTCAGGTCATGATCTCACAGTTTGTGAGTTTGAGCCACTTGTCAGGCCAGAGCCTGCTTGGAATTCTCCCTCTTCCTCTCTCTCTCTCTCTCTCTGGCCCTCCCCAGTATGTGCTTGCGTGCATTCATGCACTCTCAACAAATAAATAAATAAATGTGTGTGTGTGTGCTTTTTTTTTTTTTTAAGTAACTGTCAGGTAGGAAGCTGCTGTCTTAGCATTGATACTAGGACCGAAAGTATCGACGTTTTCCCCTGGAAATAAGTTTAGAATTTTAAGTACTAAAATTCATGTACAATTTTTAAAAATGCTTAACCACTGAATTAACCCGCAATTACTAGTGTCAACTTTTTTTTTTTTTAATTTTCTTTGAAAGTGTATTATTTTTGAAACATTCTAGTGGCAAACCTTATTTGGATCTGGTGGCCTTGGTTTGCATCATCAAAACAGCTTTCTTGATTGAAAGTACCATAGTTGTGTTCTCTTAGCTGGATGCTACTTAATGAAGGTTAAAACTAGGAGAGCTTTTCAAGTTTAACCTTTTTTAGTGTTTGCTTATTTTTGAGAGCGAGTGCAAACAGAGGAGGGACAGAGAGAAAGGGAGACACAAAATCCAAAGCAGACTCCAGGCTCTGAGCTGTCAGTACAGAGCCGGATGTGGGGCTTGAACTCACAAACAGTGAGATCATGACCTGAGCTGAAGTTAGAGGCTTAACCAACTGAGTGCCACCCCAACCCCCCGGCACACCTAGGATAACTTTACAAACCACACCCCAAAATTATTATAAACAAGATAAATCTTAAACATGTAGATTTGCCTTTAACTGCATAATTTATTTGAGCTCTGTGACTTTTTGCAAAATTTCATTTTCATGCAGTAACATAGCATTATATGGTAGACATTTCCATTCTCTTCGAGCCATTGTGATTTTTTATAACTATTTTCCGTGAATGTGTTTGCACTTATTTATTATTTCTGAGTATGTAACTGTTTTTGAGATTGTCTTTTCTGATTTTTTAAATTAAAAAAATGTTTTTATATTGAGAGAGAGCACATGGCACATGCGCAAGGCAGGGGGGGGGGGGAGAGAGAGAGAGAGAGAGAGAAAGAATATGAATCTTTTTTTAAATGTTTTTTTTTTTTTTAATGTTTTATTTATTTCTAGGAGAGAGAGAGAGAGACAGCGTGAGCAGGGGAGGGTCAGAGAGAGAGGGAGTCACAGACTGAAACAGGCTCCAGGCTCTGAGCTGGCAGTCAGCACAGAGCCCGACGCGGGGCTCAAACCCACGAACCGCGAGATCATGACCCGAGCGAAAGTCGGACACTTAACCAACTACGCCACCCAGGCGCCCCAGAAAGAATATGAATCTTAAGGAGGCCCCGTGCTCAGCCCCATGCAGGATCTGTTCCCACAACTCTGGGATCATGACCTGAGCTGAAATCAAGAGTTGGATGCTCAACCGACTGAGCCACCCAGGCGACCCTGTCTTTTCTGATTTTAAAATAGAGCAGATAATTTTCCTACTCAGAAAACCAAAATTTACATTTTGGGGTTAGGAGTTATAACTCTATTCTTACAAGTTGGTCATTTTGACTGTATTTATTCATTTTTTAAATCAGGGCATACACAGTTTTACAACAATTACTTGGATCATTCAGAAAGCCTAATTTGGATACATACATTCAACTTAAATCTGCATGTAAAACAAGTGGAAAATAGATCTTCAAAAAACTTACATCATGAGCTGTGTGCTGCCATTCCTAAAAGGAAGTAAGGAATTGTGGGGGAATGGAGTGGATGACAGGGTCGTCTCATATCTGAGCTGAGACGTGTATTCTCGGCCTTTTAAACAGATTTACAGGTCAGTTTCTAGAGCTAGGCAGGACCTTTGGGTTTTGCAGTCTCACCCTCTCTGAGGAAGCCAAGGCTAGATAGGGAGTGCAAACCTGTGTTACAGTTTTCTTTTTCTCTCATGGTCAGGAAGATGAAGCACAGCTGACTGTAAAGACCTGTCGTAGTGAGAAGGGACCGATCAAGCTTTTTGATCACACGGATGCCATGGCCTCCAAGCACTTCAAGATCTACCCCAGCATTTTGCCATATATTATCTCATCGAATCTTGGTAGCAATCCTGTGAGGTACAAGAAAGTGTCTTCTTTTTGCAGTTGAAGTTTGTAATGGAGTTTCTTGTGTAAGGAAATGTAGTTTTGTGAAGTTATTTTACCTAACTGAAGATGAGCATTGATTTAATACACTGATCATTTCAACAAAGATTTGAGTGACCACTATGGTGACAATTATACTAGTTGGGGACCCGCACTAGAGTAAAACCCTGGCGCTGTCTCCAAAGAACCATCAACTACTTGCCTTTACACCTGTTTGTATAGTAGTTGCCTTTCCTTTTTTTTTTTTTTCCCCTTTTGTTAAAGACCTTGTTTTATGATAAAGATGCCAAAGGTAGCTGGGCTTATTGGACCAACTCTTTCATTTTATGAGCTCTGATTTTACATAAATGTGAGTGGCAACCATCAGATCTCTGCGTAGATATCACTTCTGAGCATGTCCTGCTCTGAATCCCCAAGCTAGGTCAGTTTTCCTTCTTGCATGTTCTCATAGCAGCCTGGACTTTGCCTTTCTAGCACTTGTCTCAGTTTGTAATTCTCTGGGTGGCAATCTGTCTCTTCTATAAACAAAGCTCCCTTAAAAGAGATGCCTTGTCTTTTCTGCGTTGACTGTTTTCCTAGTGCCCAGCACAGTGTCCGCCATAAAGTAGGCCCTAACTGTTTATTTGTTGAGTGAATGACTGAATAAAGCATCTGTGTCCATCTATGCCATACTTTTAAAAAGATATTTACAAGCTAAAAAAACTATTTAATTTTGGGCTTCCCAAATGTCTATTTTTAGTGGCTCACATATTTTTTTTAAGTTTATAAAACTTAAGTTTAAGTTTTTATTAAGTTTTATATTTATTTTGAGAGAGAATGAGCAGGGAAGGTACAGAGAGAGAGAGAGGGTGGAGGTGGGGAGAGAGAGAGCCCCTAGCAGGCTCCACACTCAACACAGAGCCGGACATGGGGCTCAGTCTCACGACCATGAAATCATGACCTGAACCAGTATCAAGAGTGGATACTTGGGGCGCCTGGGTGGCTCAGTCGGTTAAGCGTCTGACTTCGGCTCAGGACATGATCTCAGTGTTCGTGGGTTCAAGCCCCGCGTCGGGCTCTGTGGTGACAGCCACCTCAGAACCTGGAACCTGTTTCAGATTCTGTGTCTCCCTCTCTCTCTGACCCTCACGCTGTCTCTCTCTCTCTCAGAAATAAATAAAACATTTTAAGAAATTAAAAAAAAAAGAGTGGATGCTTAATTGACTGAGCCACCCAGGCGCCCCATGGCTCACACTTTTTAAAAGACATTTAAAATTCTT